AGCTGTTGTTCAGCATCTTAGCTGTGGAGGGCAGTGTCACTGGCCCTCATATGTGGGATCCGAACCGGGGCCCTCTGGTGTCCCAAGCCAGTTCTCAACCATCGCGCCACTTGGCCGGCCCTCAAGATTTTTTAATGACCAAAGATCTTAATGTTTTACTTTCCTCTCATAAGAGAGATCAAAAGGGAGGAGAATTAAGAATATAAATACAAAAGCTGAAATCTCAGAATGCAAATTTTGGTTTCTAAACAAATACTAAATCATTCTCTCTGCCTTAAAGAAACTGAGAGGGTTTGTTTTGTTTTGTTTTTGCAATAAACAAAAAGAAAAGTAAAATTTAAAAAAGAAACTATTAATGTCCAATGCTGTGGGTTAAGTTTCAAGGACACCAGGATCTAATTATTTTGGTGATACAGAGTGTATGGCCTGTCTTTAGGGGGAGCTATTTTGATTGTAACAATCTCTAAACCTGTTATTAGCAGCTGTCTGTGTCCGGTGGGGCAGTGGGTCACTCAGATACCTTGTGACCTTGTGCATCCTACTACACAGGCATAACAACTCCCCCCTTTCCCCTGACCACCACGCACAGTTCAAAGTGCACTGACCAGATGGTGGGACATTGGATGTCCAGGTCAGGCCAGTGGGGCAGCCTTAACCAAGTCTAACTCCGGTGACCTGCAGGGCAGTTCTGTGCAGGAGAGAACATTGGGAGAACATTGGGAGAACGAACATCTGACACTTCCTTTCTCAATTCCTTTTAATGCACTGGTGCACACCTACCATCCACTCCCCCTGTGTTAATAAGCCCAGTGTAGGTTTAGGGAGCCGTAGCCCCCCACTGTGATGCTCCAGGAACAGCAAAGGGGGCTGTTGCCGGACCTTGGGAAGGGTCCCAGTATCTTGCTGGATGCACACACAACTGTAACGCGTTGACCAGATGGCAAGCGCATCCTCAGACCACACAGGCAGCCTTCAGCCTGAGGGTCCCCACCCAGAGGCATTCAACCCAGTTTTGTTCTTTTTCATGCTCAGATGGATGGAATGGAACCCTGGCTTCCCCTTGAGTATCGATGCCAAGTGCCACAGGGATTTACCTCGCGATATCCAGTTTGATAGTGAGAAAGGCGTGGACTTTGTTCTGAACTACTCTAAAGCGTAAGTCTATGACAACTGAAGGACACTGGGCAGCTCCTCCAGTGGCCAGGGCTGAGAGTGGGACCCTCACTCCTTTCTTCATTGGGGCCTGGTGTTGGGGAGTGGGGGGCTCTGTCAAGCACCCCTTCCCAAATGCATTTGATTCTGTCTTGGCCACGGAGTGGATTCTCAATGCACAATCACAGGATATCCTGTATCTAAACAAAGGTACAGCCAGGAGGACACCAAACATAGCTATGTTTTAGCCCAAAATGGAGATCTCTAGTTGGAATGCCCCATTTCCACCCACATCTCATCCCCTCATGGCCAACTCAAGGGTAGACAGCATCCAGGCTGTCACCTAGACGGCAGGGCTCTGCAGTAAGAATGGCCACCATGCCTGTGCTGATTTCTGGCATGCATGCCCTGTCCCCATTCGTCCCTCCCAACAGCCCCATGAGCAGGCAGTCATTATCCCCATCTGCGGCTGAGAAACCTGAGGAATAAGAAGGTCAATGCCTTGCCCAAGGGCTCTGCGAGTAAATGGCAGAGATTGGAGTTCTTATTGTCACTCCAGTTCAGAAACAGATTGGCTCAATGTCATCAAAGCTCTCACAGAAAAGTCATCTCCTTCTAACCGATGCCTGTATGTCTGTGTACCAAACCTCTTCACCTCTATTGAATGTTGTTATCAAATCAGAGCTCTGTTCTATTGGAAAAGAAATTTGTTGGGAAAACGTAATGGGGAAAGTCCCACCTAAAAGTTAGACAAACCTGAAAATTTTTAAATTATATTTACGAAAGTAGCATTTTTTTCTTGTTAAAAATGGGTCTTAGACTCATAGGTACAGAGAAGAAACTGATGATTTCTAGATGGGAGGGGAGTTGGGGGGCTGGGTGAGAAAGGTGAAGGGATTAAGAAGTATAAATTAGGAGTCATAAAACAATCACAGGGATATAAAGTATAACACAGGGAATATAGTCAATAATATTGTAATAATTATGTATGATGTCAGGTTGGTTCTAGATTTACCAGGGAATCACTTCATAAACTATATAAAATGTCTAAACACTATGCTGTACACCTGAAACTAATATAAAATAGTATTGAATGTCAACTATAATTAAAAAAATAGTCACAGGTATGTAAAGTACAGCATAAGGAATATAGTCAATAATATTGTAATAACTACATACAATGTCAGAAGAGTAGTAGACTTTATTAGGGTGATCACTCTGCCAGGTGTATAAATAAATGTCTCTTTACTATGTTGTTTTGTACACCTGAAACTAAGAAAAAAATGGGTCATATTGTAGAATGAGTTAACACAAAGCATGAAGTAGTGTTTCCCTAAAAGGAAGTTTGTTCTATAGTCAAATTAACTTGGAAAGTATTGCAGCCTCTTCAGCAGTGGTTCTCAAACTGTTGCTTGGGTCACAATCCCTGGAGGCTTGTTAAAATCTGTATTTCTGGACCCACACCTCAAGTGTCTGATTCAGGAGGCCAGAGGTGGGGCCTGAGAATCTGCATTTTTTTTAACAAGGTCCAGGGATTTGCCTAAAGGACTGTAAGAGCTTGAGAAATGCTGACATAAAGAAGTCTGCTGAATCTGGGATTGCTCTCCAGGCTCCTCAGAGGGGTGCAGGTGTCCCTCAGTGACCCCATGGAGGACTGGGGTTAAAGGTGCATTCGTGATGCCCCCTTGCATTTTCCTCTTCCTGTGTCCCTTGGTGTAGTCAGCTGGCATTTATGGAGTACCTACAGTACGCCTGGCTGCAGGACTATTCAGATCCCAGCACTCTGCCATTTCTTTGTTCCGTGCCCCTCCACCACACCTGCCTTAAGCCTGCCCTGGGACAGAAAGAGACAAACTCCTGCCTTGAAACAAACTCAGTAAAAGACAGTGCAGGTTCCACCTGATGTGGCTGTGTTTTATGGGCCCATCTCAGGGTAGCTGGGCTTCTCCTGAATGCTGGGCAGCTGCACCAAGCCATCCTAGCCAAGGGCAGCAAGGACAAGCAATCAGGCTTTCCAGCGAGGGCACATGGGTCCAGACAGCGTCCCTCCAACATTCTGTGTACGTGGGCCACCATGGAACACTGGGCTACAGGTTCTGACCAGTGTGTCCCAGTGGGGTAGGAGCCTACACTCCAAGTAAGGCCCCAACTGACACTAATGCTGCTGGTCCATGAACTCGCAGGACCAGGTTACATGTTGCCTTCCTGGGGGGAAAAATCTATTCAAATTAGCAATAATTATCAGCTCACCTCTAATTACCCTTTAAAAGAGAAAAGTTGCTTATTTAAAGCCTGGGCAACTAAAGTTGATTCAGACCCTAGCTGCGTGCGCCATCTTGGGAGAGTTAAGTTTTCTGACCCTAAATTTCCTTCCGATAATATGAGGCCAATCATGTCTAGCTGCTAGAAGTGTCATGAGGCTTAAATGAACTCATGTATACAATGTCACCATGGTGACACCTGGCACACTGTAGATGAGTTCCCTCTTGTATCTCCATTCTGGGTACTTAGGAGGACTTTCTTCTCATTTCTGAACCCACAAAACAAGGCCCGCCAGGGAGCTGCCTTCTCAGCCCTGTCCCTGCCTGTTTGCTAGTTCTTCTGGACTTCCTCCAATCCCATGGGGGCAGGCCTGGAGGAGGAGGCTATGCTTAATGAGCTCCTGGGGGAGTGGGGACCTGAGATGTATCCAAAGTGGACCCTTGGTCCCAGCTCTAAGAAGCTCACAGTGTGGTAGGGACTGAGCTGTGGAGAGCTCATCACAATAGCATGTGGTAGATATTCCTTTGGAAGGAGCACTGGGGCAATGAGGCAAGGGAGGAAGTAACTCTGCGGGACAGCATCTCTTTCTAAGAGAGAAGCCTAACCTGGGTTTTTAAGATTCATAAGAGTTCACCACACTGATCGGAGGTACAGAGGGGATGGCCTTCTGGGCAGTGAGAACCTTGGTGATGCAGGAGGACCAGAGTTGGGGCATGTGTAGGGAATTGGGGCTGAGGTTTCCAAGGCAGGGAAGTGGGCAAGGAACCCAGCCTTTACCTGAGGAGGAGGGGGAGACAGAACCAGGGGGGTTTGAAATAGAGATGAGGTCCAGGGGGCTCAGCATTCTGCATTTTAATGTCAAGAAGAAAGGGGGTGGTTGTCAGATGCTTCAGAGAGATCAGGAGAGTTTAGAGCCCTTCAGGTGCAGCCACTCAGAGGTCACCAGTGCCCTGGGTGAGAACACTTTTGGGGGACAGAGAGGAGAGGCAGTAAAGAGGAGTCAGCAGGTAAAGATTCTGCCATGAATGGGGTGTGGAGGAAGAAAGGGGATGAGTGAATTAGGCAGAAGGCCCTGGGGGGGGGGAGCAAAATCCCATGCTGCAGACTAGATTAGGGACTGACCCTGGTTCCCTCAGACCACAGTAGACTAAGGCTGCAGACTGGATTAGGGATAGACTCCTGGTCCCCTCAGACCATGGTAGCCTAAGGCTGCAGATGGTACTAGTCACTAATATTTGTTGAAATCTTTTTACACACCTGTGAGTCAAGGATGATCATTATGCCCATTTCACAGATGAGGAAACTGAGGCACAGTGAGATTACAGACTTATCCCAGGCTGCATGGCTGGGAAACGGGGCTGGGATTTCAGGTCAGGTCCTTAACACCTGGGACTGACCTGCAGCCCTCTCAGCTGCCCTCTGTCTCCTTGGCCTGGGCTTGCAGGTGGGCTCCCAGCCCCAAACAGGATTCTCTCTTCCAAACCCCAGCACATGGGCTGGGGGCTCTGAGACCCTCTGGTTCAGCCCCCTATGACCAAAGGGGTCCACCCCAACTGGTCTGATGGGGAAAGGACGCCCACCCCATGCCTGGCAGCCTGCTCTGCACTGAAGGTCTCTGATGGAATCCATTGTCCCAAGGCCTGGCCTGCATTCCTGCAGCTCATGCCATAGCAGTGCCACTCTGTCCACTAAACCCAGTCCTGCCTTTGGAAAACTGAAACTCATGGCTGAGGTCACCAAAGAGGCCTTCCCCATTGAACCTCCACCACTGGGCAGCTTGGTTTTTGCGCCACTTCTGGAAAATTATTTCTTCCGAGCCACCTGCTCTGCCTGGAATGAGGCCCGGCCTCATTAAGCTGTGCCCACCACCCCAAAGAGCAGAACTGCGAAATGGAAAATGAGCAGCTGTTAGGAGAAGGAAAGCCGCAGGGGAGTAGAGGAAGCCCTGGCCTCTCCCAGCCCCGCCAGCAGCTGGGTGCCGGTTCTCGCCTGGCTGTGCCGTTACCTGGCTGTACTGTTGTCTGGCCATGTTGTTACCTAGCTGTGTGACCTTGAATGAGCCAGGTGCCCCCTCTGGGCTACAGGTGCCTCTTTGTACAATATTAGATCTTTGAAGTCCCTTATATCCAGTTGTCTAGACGTATGCGGAAATATTTCGCCTCTAGAGAACATGCAAATATATTCCTCCTAACTCCACTCCTTCCTGGATCTGTGGCTTCCTCTGAGTACTGCCATGCCCATCCTGTTTTGAGGTCAGAGACCCAGCTGGAGAGATGGTGATCCCCTCCCAGTAGGGAGGGACTGGATTATGGACTGTGACTCACTCCCAGTTCCAGACAAAGTCCAGGACCTCTTTCCTGGGCACCATCTGGTGCTGCGTCATCCTCAGAGCTATGGGGAGAGTGGGGGCCAGGTCAGGCCTCTGCTCTCCCAGCAACAAGTGTTTTCCACACCCACACTGACACTGGATATACTCCTCTAGCTTAACAAGGGTTTCTGTCCCCAGAGACTCAGCTAACAAGGGAGATGGCAGAGGAGGGTCATGGACGATGGGTGAAGAAGGAGGTAAATGGCTGAAAGAAGCTTAGCGGGGGACGTTCCCAGGCCCCGGTGGCCTGCCGTAAGTGGGGAGGCCGTAAGAAGCATGTGTGTGAAACAAGCATGGTGTCAATGCTCTTTCTTCCCCGTGAGGGGCTGGAATAACAGTGACGAAGATCCCAGCCATGGGCTGGAAGACAATGCCAGCGCTATTCCCCAGCTCCGAGGTGCTGAGCACCTACTATGTGCAGCCACCACTGCCTATCCTGTGCTCCAGCACCTTCCAGGCATTACAGCATCTTAGTCACCTGCAGGCAGTTGGTTGGTCTAACTTACAAAGGAGAAATGGATGCTCACAGAGGTCACCAGCCTTGTGGCCCCAGGACCTTCTCCTGAGTAGCATGGGCTCCTAAGGGTCCTAGGGTCCTCAGTACAAAGGAGAGAAGCATTTGCTAAACTGAGGCAGATCCGGAAGGGGAGTCTGGCAAGGGGGTGTGTCAGGTTCTGCCTTGGGTGCCTTTCTCCTGCCTGGCAGGGCTGGGAGGGGCCCCGGCATCACCTGCTTGTCTGCTGAGTGCGTGCCTTTGGTCACTCAGACTTGCTGCCCTCATGCATGCTCACAGGTGGCTCCCCTGGGATGACAGACACCTCTGTCCCCATCAGCCAGGTTCACTCAAACTTCAGTCCTTTGATTCTGCTGGTCAGAGAGGGTGTGAAGAAGCTTGGGACTCCCAAACATTCCCGTGACAACGCTCAGCCCAAGGCAACCCACCGTGGGAGGAGAGAGTCCTAGGAGGGGGTTGGGCCCTTGCCAGTTAGGGCTGTTTCTTTGGGGAAGGGCTTGGCACTGCCTGGCACTCTTGGGGCATGGGGGTGCAGGAAGGGGAGCCTCCTCGAGGAGCACCTATGGCACAGTCCCCTGCCCCAGGCATCTGCCACCCCTCTCAGACAACCACCTGTGCTGCCTGCGCCCCTCTAGTGCTGTGAGGCCTGGGTTCATCTGAGCAATGCAGACACGCCTTTGCACTCCTGCATCTAAGGCAGCAGGCAGGCAGTCACACAAATGGGTTTGTACATAATCTGCCATCAGACTTGCAGACTGCATCACAGGGTCAGCTCCTTCCCTGAAATTGAAGGAGGAACGGGGGGTACACTCACCCCACATTCTCAGGAGAAGAAAGAGGGGTGCAGGGCACACGCAAAGGTCCCAAGTCGGGACATACAAAAGACAGAACAGGTAAGCAGGCCTGAATGCTGGAGGAGTGGGCGGCAAGCACTGCCAGAGGGGAGGAGACAGGGAACTGCTTGTTATTTTCAGCCATGTGTGTGCCAGAGAGAGAAACTGAGGCAGAGTGGGTCGTGGTGAGCACTGGCCAGAATTACGAAGCCTCTGTCCTGTGCCTTGCTTGGGCTTTGTAGGGAAGCCTGGGGACCCTCTTCCCTTCCTCTCCACCTTTCCCAGACCCATCCCACACCCGCCTCCTCCAGGGAGCCCTTGGGATTGCTCGGGCCACTCAGATCTCATTCCTTATTGCCTGCAGCCTGCACTTTGAATTTATCAAGCTCCTGTCCTGGGTTATTTTGCTATCCTGTGTAAGGAGCATTCGGAAACTGTGTCCTCAGCACCAGACACAGAGTCAGGGTTAGGCAGAAAGTAAATGAGGGTTAAATTCTACTGAACGACTAATCCCTCCAAAATCTAGGAGACTCGGCAGAGCAGCTGCATCGGAGATGTGGCATTCTGTCCCTGGAAACTTGCACTGAGAATGAATGAATAAATGAACTCGTGGATGAAAGCACGCATGGAAGGGATGAGAGGTGCTGTAGACTGTTCTTGAGGGCAGGTGACCGATCTCTTTCATGGGGGAGGTGTGGTAGGAAGAGTAGGAAAAGCCTTTAGATGTAGGTGCCAGTTTCTGGTCTGGTTCCACAAAGCCAATCAGCTGTCCCCAGGAGCTGCCCTGCATTCAGGTCCCTGCTGCCCACGTGGTATCTAGAGGCTGTGAGACCACGTGAAGGGGCTCTGTGGAGGGAGGCAGGCTGGAGAGCACAGGGGTGACACTCTCTGTTGCCTGTGTGCAGGATGGAGAACCTGTTCATCAACCGCTTCATGCACATGTTCCAGTCTTCCTGGAGCGACTTCGCCGACTTCGAGAAAATATTTGTCAAGATCAGCAACACTATTTCTGGTGAGTGTGCCTTTGGGAGCTCTTGTGGTGCAGCCTGGCATTGGAAAAGGCTGGCCCACCAGGCCCAGCTGCCCAGGTTGTCACCCGTGCACCACACGCTGAAAGTTTTGCATTCCTACCAACAGTGCACAGGGGTCCAGCTTCTCCACACCCTTGCAAGTTGTCTTTTGTTTCATGTTTTTATAATAGCTGTCCTGACATGTGTGATATCTCATTGTGGTTTTGATTTGCATTTCCCTGATGGTTAGTGTCATTGACCGTTTTTTCATATACATGCTGGCCATTTGTATGTCTTCTTTGGAGAAATGTCTGTTCAAGTCCTTTGCCTATTTTTGAATTGAGTTATTAGGTTTTTGTTATTGAGTTGTTGGAGTTCCTTGAATATTTTGCACATGAACGCCTTATCAGATGTTTGCTTTTCAAATATTTCCTCCCACTGCGTAGGTTGCCTGAGAGAGGGGACCCAGCAGAGCCCAAGCTGCCCCCTGCCAAGACCTCAGGCTACTCCACCATTCTCTCCCCCACAGAGCGGGTCATGAATCATTGGCAGGAAGACCTCATGTTTGGTTACCAGTTCCTGAACGGCTGCAACCCCGTGTTGATCCAGCGATGCACAAAGCTGCCCGAGAAGCTCCCGGTGACCACGGAGATGGTGGAATGCAGCTTGGAGCGGCAGCTCACTTTGGAGCAGGAGGTTGAGGTAAGACCTGGGTGGCTGGGGATGGTGGTCCAGGCCAGAAGCCCAGCTCAGGTGGCTGGGTCACACTCTGTTGGACAGAAACCACTTCCCGCTGACAGTACTCACCGGCCCCCAGGCCACCATCTCCTGGCTCATCTGTCAGGTTGATGGCAAGGTCAGTTGCCGTCGGTGAAGCAGCCTCTTCCTTTTCCTGGGCATTTATGAAATCTGTCTCATCTAAAGTAGGAGGAAGAATGGGCGGTGGTATTTCCCAATCATGCTTGGGTCTAGGAGCATAATATCAATATTTTCAATATCAATAATTCAAAGAGCACCCTCTGTTTAGGGCCAGACATTGTGAGAGATGTTTGATACACATGGCCATCAAAATGTCACCCACTTTGCAAAGGTGAGGAAACTGGAGAAAGAAGCAACCCAGCAGCATAACCAAAACAAAGGCGAAAACTGATGGAATATTTGACTTTCTAATTAGAAACATTGGTGGCATTTGCTTCTGCCCTCCCCAGCCCTCCCCTGCAGGGTCAGCCCTCACCAGTTGAAGACTAACCTAGTCTTGAGACAGAAGGGGTTCAAACCACCTCCACTGTGGGTCTGGTGGAACTCAGTGTCTGCTCCCAGGTGTCTAGATGGCATTCTGCTATTTCCAGTCGCCCCATCTTGCTTGGTCACCTTGCCTTGGAGCCCCAGCCAGAGAGGGACGGGTGGTCAGTGTCAGATCTGTGGACAGATCTCCCAGCCCCCACACCTTGCTCACCTGACTCTGGACGTCTCTAGGAAAGGCCCCTACCACCCCGCCTTGCCTTGACCTCTCCAGGCCCTTGGACACTACCTGGTTACATGGACAACTGACACCAACACGTGTCCCCACACAGGCAGCACAGACAGTTTTCCCCTGTAGATTAATTGCTGGACATATTGATTCAGTGCTATAGGTTTCAAATTTCAAATCAGACAATCACAGAGCTTTAAAAGTCAGAGAATCCTAGACTTGGAAGGGACTGAGCAGCCATCTGTGCACCTAGTCACCCTGGCAAGGGACAACCTCTGCTCCAGGGTCCTTGTCACTCCCAGAGCAAGTGGGTTGTAGCCATTTTTGTCACAATGGTTATCTTTCCTTTGAGCAATGGTCTAGACGCTCAGCTGTGATTTTGGTCATGAAGCAATAATCTAATAGTCACCACTGACTAGAGTCTGTCACAAACATACCACCCCATCTCCTACAGCACAATCCTTAGTTCTCTGAACCAATCACTGTGGCTAGGAGAAGTACGCTGACCAAAAGGAGAGGACACGGACACCAGACAGGCAAGAACACCAGTGTCTACAGTAGAATCCTAGAATGTCAGAACTGAGAAATAAGGTTAACCACCTCACTTTCCAGAAGGATGACAGTAAAGCCCAGAGAGAGGAGGTGGCTTGGGATAACAGAGAAATGCCCCAGGCACTTCTGGGGCCAAATCCCGGGCCTCCTAGGTCCCAGGCCTGGGTTGCAGGGCCTCCCTTTAGTCTGTCATTCATCAGGTAACTAACCTGGGTCCTCTCAAAATTCTATTGTCAGCCATTCCTTCTGCGTGGAAGTCGCTGATGGTCACATCTGCTCTGAAAGGCCAGTCGTCCAGCCCCACCAGCCCGCATGTCTCCACTTCTTATCCAAGGGGCTCTGTCTCATGCCCTCTGGAACCAGCCTCTTCCCACCTTCCTTCTGCCCTGGCTGGCCAGGGAAACAATCCCCCACCCTGTCCCACCCCTGCCTGGCACACATCACTGACAGACTGCTCAGAGCTCATCACTGGTGTCACACAACAGCCGTCCCCCACATCCTAAAAGGAGGAAGAAGGTGGCCGGGCCCTGAGTAAACTGGTCTTTGGTCCCCCTCAGCCAGGGTTCATGAACCGCGTGGGCAGTGGCCACAGCGTGCCCTCTGCAGGCAGAGTTGTGGATATGCATCTCTTCTGCACTCCTGTGAACCCGTCTCTGCCACGTTGGAAATCCGACCCCCTTCCCCAGCTGGCCCTCAACCTCTGCCTCCAGCGCTCACTTAAAACATAAAGGATTAAGAAGCACTGCTTGTCCTCTACCCAACTCCAGGTTCTGGCCTGAGCTGGCCCCAACTGTGCGAAAGGAAGCCGAGGGCTCTCAGGTCAGGCTCCCTCTAGAGGACTCTGTGTAGTCTGGAAAGGGCAGTTTTCTATCTTCCCCAAATCACAGGCATATTCATCCTTTAGTGAAGCCTAATAACTACAGAAATCAGGAGGGTCAACAAACTCAACCAACCAAGTGACTCACCTACTGTGCCACCCGCCTCAGGCCAGGACATAGAGCACAACACTCCTGCAGACATCTCCATCCAGCCCCTGCAGTTTCTCCCTGTCCCTGGAGACGGTTGCCTCTGGAGACCCTGTCCCTTACAGAACCCCCGGCAGAACCTCCCATCGCTGAAGACCCGCCCCCTTTCCGGCTCCCTCTCCCAATGGTGACTCTGACCCTTGAGTTTGCCCAGTTTTGAACTTTATGTAACTGGAGTCCTGCAGCATCATTCTTTGCTATTTGACTTCTCTCATCTGTTTCCTCCAAACTCCACTTTCTTATTGTAATTCTGGGTGGTCTTTCAACATCTTTCATAAACATCATGCAGATTTCAGATACAACAAATGCAAAATTGGCCGCTGCCACTCTCCCTTATCTAAAAACCTCTATAACCTTTGAAAATACTTGATGTGAATAAGCCTTTGAGTTGGACGGAGGACAAAAGAACTACAAATTCAGAACTCCAAAGCTACATATCCCTCCCTCTGGGCGTTATTCTTGGGTCTGTCTCTGGCTGACACTGACTTGGGCATGTGCCCTCTTGCCTCCTACAGCAAGGGAACATCTTCATCGTGGACTTTGAGCTTCTGGATGGCATCGATGCCAACAGAACAGACCCCTGCACACTGCAGTTCCTGGCTGCGCCCATCTGTTTGCTGTACAAGAACCTGGTCAACAAGATGGTCCCTATTGCCATCCAGGTACCGCCGCCCGTTCCCTTCCGGGGGCTCCACACTCAGCAGCCAGGGAGGAGTTTTCCTGGGTAGCTCCCCCTGAACCTCCAGGAAGAGGAGGCAGCTCTGCCTTATACCTCCTGAGGAGGGTGCTGAAGGCTCTACCAGGTAGACAGGAAAAATCAGAACCTAAAGCTGCCAGCCAGCTGTCAGGAGGACTGTCCACAGGGTCAGAAAGGGCTCCACTCCCCAAGACACACGTGAGAAATTCTAGGCAAGGTGAGATGCTCTGCAGAGCATCTGCTATGGGATATCATACTTCGCCCCAACCCCAGCATCCTGAGCAGGGGCCCCAAATCAAAACACCAACAGGGACCAGGCAGGTGAAGCTACAAGATAAGCTGGAGACTGAAGCCTCCAGGGGCACCATGGAGGCTGCTCAGGTAACGTGCCAGTCCTAGAGGTTGCCTTCGAGTGCCCATGAGTTCTTGTTTCCACCAGGGACAGTGGAGGAGGAGAGAGGGGAGCAGTTTGGGGAGAGGCAGGTGGAGGCAGACTTTCATCTCTCTCCGGTCCTGGCCACCCTCTGCTTCCTCAGAGCACCAGGAAGCTGTGACATGGTGGGAGCTGGTACGCAGACAGCAGGACAGCACGAGCTGTCGGTCTGTGGGGTGGTTTGCACAGGGGCTCCGTGAGGGACAGGCAGACAAGCATTCAGCAAACAGTACTTCGAGCCAACCGTTAAGCGAGCATGGGTGCTGTGGACATCATAGCAGCTGGTTTGCCAGATGCCAATCACATGCCAATAGAATCCTAAGGGTTAACTTGCACAGTCCACAGTTTCTCACCCTCAGTTTTGAAATCTGAAATATTCTAATATTGCTAGGTTTTTCAAAAATTGGCAGCAAATTCATGGGCGGCAAAACTTGCTCTGAATGAACAGGTGAGACTATGAAAGGCTTTGTCCCATTCAATGTGAAATGCGTATGTGTAGCTGCAGGAATACTAATATGTTTGATTGTAAAATAGTATGTTGCCCCAGACCCAGGGCAGGAAAGAGAGGTGTCACATAATGAAGTATATGCACTGCTAAAATCTTAAAAATCCTTGATTTCTGAGACATTTGGCCATCATGGTTTCAAGTCAGGACCTGCCTCCTCTATTCATGTAATGTCACTATAACCCTGCAAGGTAGGTGGCCACTACTGCTAGGGATTGTTTTTCTCAGATAGAGAAATGGAGGCACAAGTGCACACCGTCAGCGGCACAGTTGGGACTCACGTCGGGCTGTCTGGCTCCAGAGTCCATGTTTTCCCCTCCCTACACCCCCCGCCCAGTCACCCAGTCTCTGAGGTGTGTTTCCTCCAGAGGAGTTCCAGCCTGTTATCAGAGAGAAGCTCTATGCTTAAGAAACTGAAGCCAAAGCTTAAAGGATAGGTGATGTAAGAGAAGTCAGCAGCTAGGAGACCCAGGAGGGGGGCCACTTACACTGGCACGTGCCTCTGGAGCAGCCTGTCCTCCAAGACCTCCTGGAGTGGCCTGGTGTCAAGGGCCTGGCTTAAGTCCCAGCTCTGCCACTTATAACAGGCTGTGGGACCTTGGGCAAGTCACAGAATGTTCCTGAATCCCTCTCCTCTCGTGAAAATGGAAACTTTTGCAAACTATAAAGAGCTATGCAAAGGAAAGCCAGAGGATAATAAATCCAAACTTTGGTTCTTAAAAAGGTCCAAGAAAATAAATAGCCCCCTCATGAGGTTAATGAAAGAAAAAAAGAGCAAAAAATATACAAAATTAAGCATAAGAAAAAAGACATAATCACAGCTTTTTTAAAAAGAGTAATAATGTGACAACAAATTTGAAAAACTAGAGGAAATGGATAAAAACCTAGCAAAATATAAATTATTAGAAGACATTGTAGATCATAGGCCAATTCCCACACAAGCGATTAGAAAGCTGCTTAAATGTCTACACTAGGGAGAGCCCCGTATCACAGACAGCTGAGTTTTTGGTAGCCTGGAGACAGCAGACATTTCTGGAAGGTATTTCACAACCACAATTCATTCTGTGAAGCTGGCATAACCTCAGTGCTGAAACTGATGCAGGTAGGCTCCAAAAGGAAGCCCAAGACCACACCAAGTTACCAATGTAGACTTTAAGAGAAATCTAAAAAATGATATCAGAGAAGTGAATGCAGCAGTGTAATAAATGACTGATACGTCATGACCAAGTAGAGTTTTTTCCAGATGTCTCAGTATCAGGAAAACTGTTAGCATGATGCACTACACCAATAAGGAAGAAATCTTCTGGTTGTATCCATTGAAAGTGAAAGGGAATTTAATAACATTTAGTAGCCACAACTAGTAAAAATTAAAATAATCACAGAAGAAATCTACTTCCATATGATAAAGACAGGAAATATCATTCAAAAATGGCAATCCTGAGGGCATTTCCATTAAAATCATAAAGAAAAATGCTGCACACACCATTGTTATTCAGCGTTGTTCCGGATGTGATAAACAAAAAATAAAATAATAAACATGTAAAAAAAAAACAAAAAAACCCCCAAAAACCAGTAAAGACTACGCTTCAGTAATGCTATGATGGTGGACCTAGAAAACCTAAGACTCTAATTTTTTAAAAAGCTACTAGAATTAATAAATTAATTTAGCAAGGTGTCAATAAATAAACATACTTCTCAAAAACACCATTAGCTTTTCTCCATGCTAACAATAAAATATAATACCCATATAAAGAAAACCATAAAATCATTTTAAATGATGTAAAATGAAATCATAACAAGTGCTTTCATATTAAATAAGAAAACTTGGTCATAAAAATACCAGTTCTACTAAATTTTATCATATAAACCTAAAGCACTTCCAGTTAAAGTTCCAGTCAGGTTTTCTCTCTTTGTTTTGTGTGTGGAGGGAAGGATAGGAAAGTGAGAAAACTGAATAAAAGAATTTAAAGATGCATACAAAAAAAAGAAATGCTCAAGGATAGCCAAAAAGTTTTTCTGGGAAAAAAAACCAATAAACAAAACCAGGGAGGATTTTCCTTGTTGGATATTAAGGAATACCATAAGTCACTGTTCAAAGCAGAGTCTATGCATGAGAACAGCTGGGGAAACAGTATATAGATAAAGAGTCCAGAAATAGACCCCCACAAATAAGAATGTATTGTATGACAAGGGTGGCTTTCAACTGAGTAAAAAGCAATGGCATTTCAGTGCTGTTATCACAACTGTCTTTGCTTACGGGAAAAAATTAGGCCTGTATGTCATACTATCTTAAAAAATAAATCTCAGATGAATTGCAGATTAAAGCATAAAAAAGTAAAAGAGAATTTAGGAGAACATTGTATAACATGGGTGCCAAGGAAACTTATTAAAGTAAAAACAGAAAACCAAAACATTATAAAGGAAAAGATACGCATATTTGATTATGTGATGTTTTAAAAGTTGAATGGCAGGGCTGGCTGAGTGGCTCAGTTGGTTAAGAGCTTGCTCAAGAGTTTGAGCTCTGAGCAACAGTGGTTCGAGTCCCAGCCGGAGCTGAGCAGCTGCTGAGCTGCCAACAGGTGGCAGGATGGCTCAGCTAATAAAACAAAAAAAAAAAAAAAAAAAAAAAAAGTTGAATGGCAAAATATACCATAAACAAAGCCAAAGAACAAATAATAGGTTGGGGGAAATAACTGCTACATAGTGACCGATAAAAGATGAATATCTATAACACAAATAGCTCCTTTAAATTGGTAAGGAAAATACATATTCCAATAGAAGAGTGGGCAGAGTATAAATAAGCAATTGATTGAAGAGGAAATGTAAATGGACAAGCAATATATGGAAAAATTCTCGACCTAACCGTTAGTTAGGAAAACGTAAATTAAAGTTACAAGAAGATCTCACTTTGACCCAGTAGACTGGGGAAAAAAAGTGGTAGCACCAACCCCTAGCAAAGATGGGTCTCCACATACAGGCTTGAATCGCAGCTGGAGACGGTTCACTTTGTAATAATTGGACGGGTAAGCCTAGGGTGTTCACAGTCAGTACCTGGGCCGGCACCTGAGCCGGTCCCGCAGCACCTGACATACCCGGTGTGCCTCTTGAGGTTTTGGGTTGCAATGGGTGCTCAGAGTGTCTTGGAAGCAGGGCTGGCATGGCCAGGGCAATCCAAGGACACTCAAGGGCTCTGGACCATGACTCGACTATTTAAATGTTCTGACATGCAGCACCCACGAACGGGGCGTCCCAGCTGAAGGAGCCAAGCAGTGGGCACTGCCTATCAGACAGAAACAGGCTTTCCCTACGGCACAGCAAGCGCCCTCTAGTGCCCAGTCAGCAGAAATGAAAGCACCAATACGAGGGGGGCATGTGCGAGCTTGGTATCACAGCACTGTCTGTGGTGGGGACACAAACAACCCTGAAGGCAGCCTGAAGGCAGCAGAGGATTGACTGAATGAAATTTATTATGTCCGGACCATGAAATGTCCCACCGCCTTGAAAACGAATGCCTTAGATGTCTCCCGGCTGACCCACAGGCGTTTCCACAATGAGCTAACAAATTGAAAAAGACGCAAGGTAGAGATTCTATGATCTCATCCACGTAAACTGAATACAAGGAAGCAGCACACCACAGACATGAGCACATACGTGGGTGGGTGTGTGGAGGTGCAGGACTCAGGGTCACCAGGTCAAGAACTCTGGTAGGCTGGTTGGGGCACAGGTGAGCAACAGAAAGAAGAGACAGACCTTCATTATGATAGTGTTCAATTTATGAAAAATTGAACAGATAACTACGTACATATGCAAATAAGGTGGATGATGTTTTCTTTTATATGATCTTCTGTTATAACTACAATTTTTTTACAATAAGTTTATATTATTTTCTAATCAGAACAAAAAGCTACTTCCTTACCCAAAAAACAAATTTAAAAAACCAAAACACCAAGCCACGCATGGCACATCTGGAGTCCCAGTGTCACTAAGAACCTGGACAGGAAAGTGGGGGATGGGAAGGATGACAGGAGAGGAACACCCAAATCAGGGTGGTCTTCGAGGCCTGGGTAAGGGTTCAAGGGAGAAAGCCACAGCGGGTCTGGACTAGGCAGTGAGAGAGGAGAGAAAGGCTGAAGACACTGCGAGGGAATGGGCAGGGCACTGGGTGCCATCCCCGCTCAGCTTAGGAGAGGTGCTTCCCCACTCTAAGCCTTAGGTTCCCCTCTGCAAAGCGGAGATGGCAGGAAACCCACCTTGCAAGGTTATGGTGAGGACTGAGTACAAGTGGGGCCCCAGCACACAGCAGGATCTGCTCCACTCTGTGTCTCCCAGAGGGTGCAGAGCTTCCCATGCACCTTCCAGAACACTTAGCCTGACCTTGAGGAGACCAGTGGGCCAGGCCCCCCCATCTCAGGCAGCCCTCCTCCTCAGTCACTGTGCTGTGGCTACACTGGTCTCTGAAGGGCTGCCCGCCTAGAGCCCTTGCCAGCCCCAACCCTAGCCTGCAGCGCCTGCAGCGCCTGCAGCTGGAATGCTGCTCTTTCACGCTTCTCTGGTCTGGATAATTCATTGTCACTCTAAATGTTCACCCTCTAAGGTGCTGTGTCCTCCTTTGAAAGATAGGGCAATGACAGTGCTGACCTCACGGGCTCACATGACATCAGGCTGTGCTCATTCAATGAATGCCAGTGGCTGTTGGCATGGACGAAGCTAGGGACCAGGGGCTTGGTGGGCGGGGAGGGACACAGGTGGGATCCGTCATGAGGGGCCAGACCACGGAGTTTGAGGGCTTTCTTTTTTGACATTATGAGGTGACTGTTTTTTTAAGGAAGGGATTGGCATGACATGATTTCCATCTTAGGGAAAAACCACCTTGGCTCAGTGTGAAGTTGAAATGGGAGAGGGCAGATAAGCCTTTACACCTGGTCTCAGGGCTGGGCTGTAGGGACAGTCACTTGGGACACTGCCTCACGAGGGCCCTAGAACTTGGGACCTGGGGGAGCTGGTCAGGAGCACCGAGGCAGAGCCTGGGGAACAGCAGCATTTAAAGCAAAGAGCAGCAGAAGAAAAAATGACAGAACCAGGAGGGAGTGCGCGGTGGGCGGACGAGAGGGGTGAGGGGAGGCCCTCAGCAGGGTCCCCGCACACTTGCCTAGCTCACTCCCTGCTGTTGCCTTCGTGCCCTCATACTCACTTCCCATAAGAGCTCTGTGCGGTGGGTACACACTTGTCCCCTTATTCCGGATGGTGACACCGGAGCTCACAGAGGCTCTGTAAGCTGTCCAGAGTCCCACACCTAGTCAGTGATGTAGCTAGGAAGGGAAACATGAACCCTGAGCCCTCTGTCCTCCTCCAGGACCCTCCCACAATTGAAAAGTCAGTTTAAGAAGTTTGCATTTTTCTGGAATATCCTGACAGGCCAGGTTCCTGTGGTCTGGAGCAAAAGATTGCAGTGTATTTTCTTTTCTTTTTCCTATGTATTAGCTCAGTCAAGTCCCAGGAGAAGAGAACCCCATTTTTCTCCCTTCGGATGCGAAATATGATTGGCTCCTGGCCAAAATCTGGGTACGTTCCAGTGACTTCCACGTCCACCAAACTATCACCCACCTTCTGCGCACACACCTGGTGTCCGAAGTTTTTGGCATCGCCATGTACCGCCAGCTGCCCGCCGTGCACCCCATTTTCAAGGTACAGTAAGCTACTGCCTGCATTGCATGTGAAGGGGACAGGCGGGAGTGAGGGGCACTGAGTTAGCCACAGGGCTGTGGCTGGGCGTGGCTAGGGGTTAGGGATCGCTGGAGAGATGTTCAGTGGTGGTAATGTCTGCTGAAAGCCTGCTGGTTCCCAAGGACACGGGCCTGGGCTTGACACAGATCCTGTTGGCCCAAGGGAGTAGAACAGAGTTTGAAGAGGCAAATGAGTTCCACATAACCCTTGTCTGAGCCCAGGTGGCACCCACCACTATCCCTGCCCTTCTCTCTTCTGAATCCTATAGGCACTGACTGCTAGGGGGATTGCAGGCTAAAAATGTCTCTATGTGCCTTGGTTTCCCCATCTGTAAAACAGAGATCAGATAGTATACCTGCCTCATAGGATTATTGTCAGGATTAAAATAGCTAACAAATTCAGAGAGCTTAAAACAGTGCCTGGCACATAGCTGAGCTCTGTACAGCACGGACTATTACCATTCTTATCGTTATCATTATTGCTGAACATCATCATAGCTGCGACCCCAGGCCTCTGGCAGCTCCAGCAGTGAAGACAGCATGCCAGCCTCTACTTCCTCCCTGAGCCCTAGAATCACCTGTCCACAGTGGGTCAATGGGGTGCCTGGGTCCCTGGGGGCTCCCGAGGGGGCAGGGCCTGGTCAGGGGCCCTGGCGGGCTGACGTCTCTGGCTCCTCCCCAGCTCCTGGTAGCTCACGTGCGGTTCACCATCGCCATCAACACCAAGGCCCGAGAACAGCTCATCTGCGAGTTCGGCCTCTTTGACAAGGTGGGTGTCTCCCCCACCCCCATGCAGGGCAGAGCCCAGCGAGGTGGGCACCTGCTTCTCAAAACCTGCACCCCCCCTCAGGCCCAGATGTCCTCTCAGGAGACCAGGGCCTGAGGAACCACAGGGGTGGAGGCCTAGGAAAGCTGGAGGCTGGAGGCTGGCAGCATGCAGAATTAAGGCTCCCCAGTTCTGTAGCCACTCGCTGGCCCCTTCCCCGGGTCCACTGGACCAGGTCTCACTTCTGAGTGCAGTGCCTGCTGTCACCACCAGCTCTTCCTCATCACGTCAGCTCCCTGTCCCCTCTCCCATTCTCTGGCGTGTGGAGGCAGACCCTGCCTCCTGGCACCCATTCTTCACCTCATAACCAAGGGACCTGGGTTTCCCTTCCCATTCTGCTCCCCCATCACTCTGAACACAGCCTCCCACTGTCTGCCCTTTCAGGCCATCAGGACTCCCAATCCACTCTCCTCCTCAGCCTCGGTCCCTACTCACCCCTCACATCCTCTCAGGCAGCACCCCACTCTGTTTTGACCCCCCTGTAGCCTTACCAAGCCCAGACTCTCCCAGCAGCCCTGACCGCTGATCTCCCTCCTTTCCTGACTCCAATTAGTGAGTGGCCAGATGATCGCTAAGGTTGAGCCATTGTTTGGGTTGTAAAAGACAAAACCCAACTTAAACCAGCTGAAGCCAGGAAGGAATGTACTATCTCATATATATGGATACAAAGGGGTGAGGGAACCTCAGAGTACAATGGACCCAGTGACCCAGTGTCTCCAGGGTCCAAACACACTGGCTTACACTCTTCCTCTCTTTACACTCTGTTGGCCTCATTCTTCCAGCAAGGCTTCCGCCCCGTAGAGGGGGAATGGGACCCCATCACAGCGAGCTCCAGCCTCATGTTCCCATGAAGGGTCCATCACCTCCCACCCAAATAGGCAGTAACAGGGAGCAACTCTGATCGGTCCCGCTCTGGTCAAATGGCCCTTGGGGACCCATGTCTGGCACCCAGCACGCAAGTCCTCCTGAAGATTCTGTGGCCCGACTGCTCAGCCTCCGTGTGTGCGTGTGTGCGTGTTTGCGTGCTGGCGAGCATGTGTGCCTGTATTTCAGCCGTGTGTAGGAGGACCAGGCCCCTCCTTGTGCATCTCCCAAGCCCTCACCTAAGCACACCACAAGCCCTCAGAGCTGTGTGGGTCCTGGTGCCTGGTATCTGCCCCTTTCTTTCATCCAAAGATTGGTCACTGAAAGCAGTGCTCAGACTCTGGGCAGCATATGGCTGCAGCCGCCCAGGCCCCGCGCTGCCAGCTGTCCCCGCTGTCCTCCTCAGGGTGGGAGCTTGCCACTCCCTCTGCAGCTGCCCCGTCTCTGCACCCATCTGGCCACCTCAGCCCCTTGCCTCAGACCAGGCAGACGGTCCTCCCTGTAACCTCCCTGGGCTGCCCTGGCATTCTCCAAGGACATGGCTTTGACCCCCTGCATCCCTGGCCACTGCACCACCGATCACACTTTCTCCTGGCAAGGGGGAACGGGCCTCAGTTCACAGCACTCTCTTTCCCCTCCCACTCAAGGCCAACGCCACAGGGGGCGGTGGACATGTGCAGATGGTGCAGAGGGCCATGCAGGACCTGACCTATGCCTCCCTGTGCTTTCCTGAGGCCATCAAGGCCCGGGGCATGGACAGCACACGGGACATCCCCTACTACTTCTACCGGGATGACGGGCTCCTGGTGTGGGAGGCGATCAAGACGTGAGTGCGAGCTGGGCTGTGGGCTGCCCCACGTGGCGGGAGCAGAGGTCCTGGAGGAGGAGTGGGTGTGGGTGCTGATGGAGGAAGGGGGCATCCAGGGGCGGGGTGACCTTAATGACCTGGGTATTGGGAGTGACAGGGTCATTGATGGGGCCCTGCTAGGGGCCCAGAGGCAAGCTCTGCAGACCCTGGCTAGGTCCTCACTCCTGGCTGGGCCCCTCCTCCTGAGTCAGGTTCACAGCTGACGTCGTGAGCATCTACTATGAGAGTGACCAAGTGGTGGTGGAGGACCAGGAGCTGCAGGACTTCGTGAACGATGTTTATGTGTACGGCATGCGGGGCAAGAAGGCCTCAGGTAGGGACGGCCCCCTCGCCTCCAGTCCACTCTTCTGCCCCTCCCTGCACCTCTGACTTTCCTTGGGCTACACTGGCATTCACCTTAGCACCTAGGTGCTGGGGGCAGACCCCCCAAGGGACCCTGGGCCACCAATATGCCTCATGGGAACATTTTAGGGGCTTTCTACAGTCCTGAGAGCCCAGATCAGAAACATCAGGACACTGGGCCCAGCCACTGTCCCTGCCCAGTGTGTATTATCCATGCTGGTCCCTCCAGCACTGGTGTGAGGTCGCCCAGGGAGGGCTGGGAGTGGGGGTGGGGCTCTGTGGGTGGTGCCCCTCCCAGGGGGCAGGGCCTCAGCCTGTCCCTTCCTGGGCCTTAGGGTTCCCCAAGGCCATCCAGACCAGGGAGAAGCTATCTGAGTACCTGACGGTGGTGATCTTCACAGCCTCAGCCCAGCACGCAGCGGTGAACTTTGGCCAGGTGGGCAAGGGCAGGGCAAGCCCTGTGAGTTGGAAATCACCAAGGTCACCTTGACCTTCATTACTTAGACTTGGGGAGGGGATGCCCTTCTTCTGCCTAATCTTCCAGCCAGTTGGGCAGTTGGAGAAAGCCAGGCGGACCTCAGGCAGCCTCAGGACCGGAACTGGGTGATTGTGGATCCTGCCCACTTAGCGGAGGGTCCGCTGAGGCAAGGGGGCTGTAGTCAGACTGCTTGGGGTCCTGCTAGAGCAGGAGTGCACTGGGGGAGGGCGCAGGGGGGAGGCGGGAGGCGCAGGTGGGCTTTGGTGACCGGATTGCGTGTCCCCGGCGCTCCCTATAGTATGACTGGTGCTCCTGGATCCCCAATGCCCCCCCAACCATGCGGGCCCCACCACCCACAGCCAAGGGTGTGGTCACCATCGAGCAGATCGTGGACACACTGCCAGACCGCGGCCGCTCCTGCTGGCATCTGGGAGCAGTGTGGGCGCTGAGCCAGTTCCAGGAAAATGAGGTGAGGCCATTCTGCCCCTTCTGGTGGGCAGGTTGCCCCAGGTTTGACCCATTCCTCAGCCTCAGGGTTTTGTGATTCAGGGCTCAAGGGACATCTGCCCTCCAGGAATCCTGACTTCCAGGGCTGGAGTGGCCTACCAGGTCCTCAGGCCTGAGCCTTGAGGCAGCTCCAGGCCTTAGGCTTCCAGGAAAGCATAGGGACTTGGCTCCTCTGGTGACATTCCCCACGAGGGCACACCCAGCAACTCCAGATAATGACAAAGCTCTCTCGTGTGGGTTTCTCTCTAACTTTCCTGGGGCTCCTTTCAGACACTTTCATGCACATACCCTTTGTTTAACCTAATCCCAAAGCTGGGCATCTCAGTGGACATGCCCCATGGCATTAGCTCAGGGCTGCACAGAATGACTGCATCAGCTCCACCAGGCCCAGGCTCCTGGACATTTCAGTTGCTTTGGGCCTTCATTAATGCATTTGTCTCTCACTAACATCTTTGCATATGTGTCTTGCACACGTGTTCAACAGGACCAGAGGATACATTCCTCGTAGATGGATTTTTTTGGTCAAAGAATGTTGAGACTGAACTGCCCTTTACAGACTAAATGCAGAATTCCATCAATAGCATATGATGTCCTCTCCCACCCTCTGCAGCCCTGGATGTGAAACTTCCCAGTTTTAACAATCCAGTTTTGATTTTTTTGGTGTGTCTAGCTTAATTCGCAGATATCTGTGTGAGTGTGCAAATAAGCACAACACCTCCACAGGGCAAGAGAAGGCCAGAGGCAGCCCCTATGGCCCTGCTGCCTGGAGTCCCAGGGGAAGGTGGGAGTGCTGGACAGGACAGGCCCAGCAGGACCCCACAGCCACATGCCCACCACAGCTGGGGCCACCGGCCTCCACAGTCTCCTGCTCCAGTACATATCCTCATAGCCACCTGGCAGGGGGCAGTTATCCCTCCCTCTATCTGTAAGCCACAGCTTCCTTAGGGAAAGCCAGGTTGGGTGTGGCATTTGCATTCTCAGGGCACCCTCGGCCGGCGGCAGAGGTGACTCCCAAGGGATGAACTCTATGGGTGGGACTAGGCCTGTCAGTTACTCTTGCTGCACTGCAGAGTAGCATGTCTGTTTGTCTATCTGTCTGTGTCTGGTTCCTCAGCTGTTCCTGGGCATGTATCCAGAAGAGCATTTCATTGAGAAACCTGTAAAAGAGGCCATGGCCAGATTCCGCAAGAACCTCGACACCATCGTCAGCGTGATCGCTGAGCGCAACAAGAACAAGAAGCTGCCATATTACTACTTGTCCCCAGACCGGATTCCCAACAGCGTGGCCATATGAGTAGCTGCCTGAGCCTGCCTCCCTCCAGGATGGCCACCTGCTCAAGGCTTTGCTGGACACCCAGTCTCCCCAACCTGCCCTGATCCAGGGGCTCGCAGGGTGGCCCCACAGCAGGCTGCCAGCAGTTTGCTGCCCCTGGCTTCCCAGGATTCCTGGGAATTCTGCATTATAACGAAGCTTCCTATTTTATTCCTCAGTCTTTAGTGAATCCCATACTCTGATCAAAGTGTAAACACTGCAGGGACCCCTCCTACACAGAGCAGAGTGGTGTAGCTTCCTGTCCTCTACCTAGCTCAGTATTTCCACACCAGGGAGCAACGGCAAATCAGGATAACTGATAGATGTGTCTTCTTATCTGACACATGGAATGATTACTTTCTGTTCTATTTATGCTTAGTTCAATTTCTTACATATAGTAGATACCCAAATAAATTCTTATTGAACAAATTAAGAATCAGTTGTCATAAAGTTCATTTAAAACAGGTCTCCTTCCACATGCTGTGGTCCAACCAACTCAAACAGCTCATATCCCCCCGCCCACAAAAAACCAAAATGCCATAATCATGATTCCATCTAGGCAAAGGTGTCCTTCACCCCCACAGCCTGCGCAGAAGGCGCTTTTCTCTCTGTCCAGAAAGCTGCTACTGTTTCTTCACAACATATCGCAAATGTCGTCTCATCTGGGGAGGTCTCCTTGATTACACAGATGGAGCTCATCTCTCCCCCAGGGCTTTGTCTGAAGCTCTGTTGTTGTCTTGCCAGGTGGTCTCTGGAGCCCCAGGGCTGGCACAGGGCTGGCGTAAGTCTCCAGTGAGCTGCTGCCTCCTGGCAGAGCACCTCACTGACAGATTCCAGGAACTGTCTCAGGAGCTGGGGGCTGTTTGCTTCTATAGCAGAGGCCTCAACTTGGCTTAAAATATGCATTTTCTTTCCCCAGGTCCAGGAAGCAGAGCCAGCCCTAAGCATGGGCATGGTGATCTGTTGTCTCCTACACACATACCCAATCCACAACCCTCAGCTTCAGAATTCAGTCAGCAGGGTCTCCAGGATTTCCAGAAGGTGCACCTGATGTGGTAGCCCACAGCTCAATGTCTACGTAAAAGTCTCCCGACCAGGCCAACATGGCATGCGAGAGGTATGCAGGTATTCCTGACACCGCAAGTCCCTCTCAGGAAACATGACCACTGGAGTGGGTACTAGAGAGACTGAGGTCCAGCCCCTTTAAGCCCCAAACCTCCTACTACCCTCTGAGAACTTCCCACCACATTGGTGAATGACCTTGGTGACAGACTCCATAATCATGGTCACGGCACTGGTGCCTGTGAAGGCCAACATACCAACCTTTGGAACCTACAAGGCTATGTGAGCAGGGAGGGAGCAGGAAAGAAGAGGAACGGGCAGGGGTGGTAGTGCAGGTCTGACACCTGTGGGACGAGAGAGGGAAGGAAGGGTTGGGTAGAAAGGGCTTCAGACTGCAGAGCAGTTCTAGGTCTCACCCCAGCTAACGGGGAGTCCTGAAACAAAAGTTGTCTATTACAGAAATCTTGCATCAGGTAAAAATGATAAAAATCATCTGGGTATGAATGTCACAGAAGATCCAAAGGTGTGGCAGCTGGAGCTGTCAGTCAAATACGTTCTTTGCAGCTGGTCCTCCTGGTTCCCTGCAGCTGGATATCTGAGCTCCTTTATTGCCAAAGTTCTCTTAATAAACTCTGTCTAAACCTCTGGCGGACCACTAAGCCACGCATGAATGGGGCTAACTGCAAACAGCTCAACTGAAGATAAACTGAGATTTGATCTTTCAAACTGTCTTCAGGTTAAGTTCAACCAAGTTAACTGCTTGCTTAACCCTCTGTCAGGCGCAACTGATCTCACAGATTCATTGCACACAAAGATGCTGCTATGAAATATGTCTTTACTGTACTGTCACAAACACAGTACAGTGATAGGTTGTGGTAGAGGGGGAAGGTATGGGAACGATAAGTCATGATGCTTAAGTTAACTGTTAAGATATTTGAAATTTTGTGTGCAATGAATCTGTGAGATCGGTTATGCCCAACGGAGGGTTAAAAGAAAAATATAATTCTTCAGAGAACTAAAACAGAACTCATAATCTCTAAAAAATAACATTCATGATAAGCCAGGACACAAATCTACTCAACATACAAAGTATTAGGAAAATATGACCTCAAAGGAAAAGATAACCATTAGAGACTAATCACAAGATGACCCAGATGTTGGACTTGGTAGACAATGGATTTAATGAAGGTTTTATAATTCTGCTCGATGAGTTAAAGGAGATATACTGCCAATTTGCAAAAGGATAGGAAATCTCACCAGAGAACTATAAAGAAGAAGGAGGACACCACCACCACCACCAAATGGAAATTCTAAATTTCCAGAACTAAAAAGTCTGGAAAAAAACTCAATGGGCTTAATAGCAAAACGAGATGACAAAACAAAGAGACAGTGAACTTGATGATAGATCAGTAGAAATGATCCAATCTGAACTGAATTAGAAATGATCTCAACAGGAAGAATTTTTTTCACATGAACCGAGCCGCAGAGATCTATGGGACAATATCAGAAGGTTTGACATACATGTAATTGGAGTCCCAGAAAGAGAGAGAAGGTAAAAGAGAATGGGGCACAACAAATATTTGAGGAAATAAAGTTCAAAATGTTTCCAAATTTGGTGAAAGACATACATTTATAGCTTCAAGAAGCTCAAACTCAAGCAGAATAAATACAAAGAAAACCATACTTTAGAGTCACTCCTCAAAACCAGAGTTAAAGAGATAATCTTGAAAGTGGTAGCACATATAACATACAATGGAATGATTTTAATTATAGATAACTTTTCCTCAGAAACTGTAGGGGCCAGAAGACATTGGAACAGTATTTTTAAAACATTCAAAGAAAACAATCACCAACCCAGAATTCTGTAATCAGCAAAAATATCTTTCCAGTATGAAAACAAAATAAAGAATTTTTTAGGTAAAATAAAACTAAAAGAATCTACTGCCAGCAGATCTACATACAAGAAATGCTAAAGAGGGCTGGCCAAGTGGCTTGTCGGTTAAGAGTTGGCTTGGGAACGCGAGATCTGAGCAGCGGGGCTGCTGGTTCAGATCCCACATGCAGGCCAGTGATGGTGCGCCCTCTACAGCTAAGATGGTGAACAACAGTTCGACCTGTAGCTGGGCTGCTGTGAGTCGCCAGCGACGGCGTAGACTACAGTGGGGCTGCAGTGGGCTGCCGTGCGCTACCATGAGTGGCCAGCAGCCAGCGTGAGCGGCGGTACAATGGCCGGTGAGCGACTGCCTCACCTGGGAAGAGTGCAATGATAATACCAACATGGGTCAGTGAAGCGACGTCCTCCACAACTAGACTGAAGAACAAAAGGACAGCAACTTGTCTGTTCCCCTTCCCTGATTCCCCAACGCTGTTCCCTCCCCCAATTCCCCAATAAAATCTTAAAAACAAAAAATCAAAAAAAAAGAAATGCTAAAGGAAATTCGTCAGGCTGAAGGGACATGACACCAGATAGAAACGTAGATCCTCAGGAAGGATGGAAGAGTATTAGAAATGATAAATATTTGCTAAATTAAGAGACTTTTCTCCTCCCTCTTAATTCCTTTAAAATATATACAACTATTTAAAGCAAATATTATAGCATTGTCATGTAGCATTTATAATATATGTGATCATAATACATATGAAGATAGCATAAAAGTCAATGGGTATTAAATGGACTTTTTCCAGTCACATGGCTTCTCCATCTTATCAAGTGGCACAATATTAATTCTAAGTTGTTTGTGAAATTTTAAGTAAGTAGATTTTAATCCCTAGGGCAACCACTGAAAATAATGTAAAGCAGTAAGAAGTATAGCTAAAAACCAATAGGTGGTATTCTACATAAATAATAAAAGAAAGCAGGGGAAGAGAAATAGAGAAATAAAAAGGGACAAACAAATCAAATATTGGGTTTTTGGAAAAGTCATGACGCATTTTTGCAATGAAAAACATAGAAAAAATACTTCATGACTTTTTCGACAACCCAATGATAAAATGGTAGACACAGAACCAACCGTATCAATAATTACATCAAATGTTAATGGACTAAAAACTCCAACAAAAAGACAGAGATTATTGGAATAGATTTTAAAAATCAATACCAACAATATGCTACACAGAAGAGACACACTTTAAATATATAATGGGGTGAGCAAATATTTTCTTTAAATATTTTAGGTTTGGCAGGCTACATACAATCTGTTGCATTTTTAAAAACAGCCTCTTAAAAATGTGAAACACATTCCTAGCTGAAGAGCTTTACAAAATCAGGCCATGGGCTAGGTTTGGCCAGTAGGCTGTAGTTTGTCAGCTCCTGATACAAAGAGACCGATAAGATGATTTGTGAATGGCAGATAAGCACAGGACAAGATGCACATAAAAAGATGTTCATTAGGAAACTATAAATTAAAACCATAGTGAAGTACAACTCCACATCTATGAGAATGGCTAAAATGCTTGTATTTTATCTTGGTGACTGACACCACCAAGTGTTGGCAAGCATATGCAGTAACAGAAACCTTCACACATTGTGGGTGGGGATGTAAAGTGCCTCATCTGCTTTGGAAAAATGTGCTTAGTTTCTTATAAAACTAAACATATCCCAACGCTCTCTGAACCAGCATTCCATTCCTAGGTATTTACCCAAAAGAAATGAAAACATGTTCACAAAAATATTCTCAGCACTTCTATTCATAATGGCCCCAAACTGTAAACACAGGTATCCAGCAATAATGGCCAAAGTGATTGATATAGTCATACAATGGACTATTAATCAACAATAAAAAGGAATGAGGTAACTGATTCAAGAGCATATGTGAAACTCAAAAGCACTGTGCTGGCTAACTCTTACACAAAATCATATATACTGTATGACTCCATTAAAATTAAGTTCTCAGATGAGCTAAAACAAAGACTTCAGAACAATGTTTCTGTTGGGAGGTATAGGGTCAGGAGTGGATTGAAAGGGGCATCAGAAGTTTTAGGATTGAGGTAATGTTCTACATTTTGATAGGCGTTTGGGTTACATAGGTGGATACATTTGTCAAAACTCATCAAATGGCACACTGGAGCCACCCCAGATGTGCCTCTGGTATGCGGACTATTGTGACCTAACAGCAATTTTAGCTTCAGGCCCAAGTGAAACTTCTGTCCCTCTCTTAACTGCCAAGAAAATCTTGATACCCCTAATAAGCCATCATAAAGGATTATCAGCGATAACCCCTTTTGACCTATCTATAGGGCAGGACAAATTTCTGTTTACTAAGCATCTACTCTTATCATCCTGCAGTGACCCTTTGAAGCCCCCAAGGCACCTTCCCTCATCCCTAGTTCAGGATGTCTTATATACCCATGTCCCCTTTTTGTCTCTGAACCTCTCGTGCATGTGGGGTTCCCATCCCTGTGTATGTATTGAATTTGGTCCTTTACTCTTGCTAATCTGTCTCATGCCTACCCGACTGTTAGACAAGCCAGAAGAACCTTGCGGGCAGAGGAAAGCGTGTTCCTCCCTCACAGCAGCACTGCCCCAGGACTTCCCTCGCTCCTCCATCATAAATGGCGGGATGAGGCCACAGATCCCAAACGTGTCTCTTGGGCCTGGGCCTCTGAAGGGCTGAGTCAGAGGGGGTGGGAGATTTGGAAATCGGCTGCACTTCCTCCTGGACACCCCTCAGGGATGGGGAGGGAGGAAAGCCTTGAGTCAGAGGGGCTCTGGCTGCCTCAGTGTGACCCAATGTCAGGGGGAGATGTGGAGGGCATGCATGGACCACTTTGAAAATTGGATAAAAGCTATGGGCATTTCCCCCAGGAGCATGACACAGGCACTCACAGTCCTCAAGGGACCACACATCTCCTGGCTGAGGAAGGAGCCCCTGGACCAGGGTTCCCAGACTAGATTTCATGGACCAGAAAAGTTTTCAAAGGAAGTCTGGAGGGACATTTGAGTCACCAAGTTTTTGTTGGTATGAACCCAGTCATTAACCAACCAATCAACAAAAAGCCCCCTCCACCACCACCCTCCAAGAGCTTCCCTCTATCGTCATAGAGGCAGTTCAACACCGGAGAAGTGTAATGGACTAGTCCACTTCCACAGAAAAGTAGGATAAGTGGAATGGACTAGTCCACTTCCACACCCAGCCCGAGGCCTCTTCCGGTCTCTCCCGGCCCTGCAGACTCTGCTACAGCAGCAGAACCACAGCCATGCCAACTCATCTCTGCGGACTGCCTGGCACGGTCTTACCCAGAGGGCGAAAGGTGGCACAGGGCCCAAAGAGCAGCGCAGGCTTGGCTCCTCAACACCGCAGGACTTCTGCACCCCCGCTGTGTGTGCAGGGGATACTGAGGTCAGGCCTATGGAGCCCGAACTCTGCTCCTTTCATTTCAGCTCTAAGCAGCAGCTTTGGAGAAGCAGAGAAGATGCAGGCTCTGAGTTGAGGGGCTGGGCTCTTAGCCTCTGGAACTACACCTCTTGGCTCTTTCCAGAACCAGCCATATAGAGGAGTAGCAGGACTCCGCATCCCTGTGGCACTTCTGAGGCTGGGGGACAGCACAGGCCCTGGAGGAGGCCGTCCAAGTCTCTGACACAGGCTGTGACCAACAACTCTAGGGGCACCACTCACACAGACCATAAGTTGGAGAACCTTTTCTATAAAGGACCATGTAAATAAGTATCTGAGGCTCTGCAGGCCATAAGATCTGTCCCAACTATTCAACTATGCCACTGTAGCAGGAAATCAGCTGAAATAATATGTAAATGAGTAGGAATGTGCCCCTAAGTTTATTTATAAAAACAGGAGCTTGGCCTGCAAACATTAGTTTGCTACCCCGTGACAGAGAGGATTGAAGTGCTGCCCTAGAGGTAGTCATGCAACAGCCCTAAGCCCCTCACTGTGGCTGGCATCAGAAAGCAGCAAGGCCTGGGGGCAGCACTGTCGTAAGCCGGACTGCAACCAAACTCCGTAAATCCATCCTCCAGCCAAAGCATGGAGGCTCCTCTCTGGCAGCCCTCACCTCACATTCAGCGCCTCCAACCACAGCTGCGCATGCACTCACATGTCCTGGCTCCCCTCCTTCTGCACGCTCACACCTGTGTAGGTTCAGCAGGTCTGCTGGTGCTTGGCTGGCACAAGCTCCTCTGGAAGCCTCAACAGCTCCACTCAGTGCCGGGGACTTCTTCTCCGCAAAACTCAGGCAAGGAAGACACTTGGCAAAGTACCCTCCTGCTTAGCTCCAAGTCTCCTGGAAGCCTACCGTGGTGCCTTGAACTTGTGGACAAGTTCTGGCTCACCTAGGGGACAGTATGTCCCCGACAACCTTGGCCAGTGTGTGGGGAGCTGCCTTCCCTCAGAGGGACCCACTCCCTCCCATGACCAGCGTCTGGGAGCTGTACCCCCTCAGAGGGACAGGCTGAGGAAAATTGACACCTCCAGGGGGTGCGTGGCTCCTTCCTGGCTCCTTCCCGGATGTACGGATGTACGAGCAGAGGAACCTGGAAAGAGGATCAGGGCCACCAAGTGCCTGTCAGTCCCCAGCCACCCTGCAGGAAAGCACTTTCATGGCAAAACTCCATTTTCAAGAAATGCTTTATTGCTACAATTAGACACCCCTGTGTATAGCACAAACAAGCCCCCTGTACAGAGAATTATTCAAGTGGTAATACTGAGAAACAGTGAACATACACAAAAGGATACAAAACTAGACGTTTAGAGAACTAGAAACTTCCTAAGTTAAGAAAAACTTCAAATGTGAAGTGCCTGTTAGAAACTACACCACACATGCCAGTGTAAATTTGGTTTTTATTAACAACCAACTTTCAAGAAACATTGCATCTAAATAGGTGAGGCGCTGCACAACTTACTTCCAACACGAAGATGAATGCCTTCATTTCCCTATGTCTAGGTCGTTCCTTGGGCTAGAGAGGGAAGCTGCGGATTTAAATCAGAACCAAAAGGGTATTTCAAGTGTATCTGCCAAATCGACAGCATCACGGGTCTTTACCCTGTGGTCCCATCTCCTCCAGCCCTGAAGCCAACCAGCAGACTGCAGCGGCAGCTCCAACCTGTCCAGGGATTACCTGAAGCTCTTGACTGGCCCGACTACCTGGGGCCTATATATCTGCAGCCAGGTAGGGCACACCTGCAGGTTTGGAAACTAGACCCATAAGATTGAAAAGAGTGAATTGAAGCAGGAAAAAAAAAAGGGGGGGGCAATTTGGGGGTGGGGACAAGACATTAGAGGCCTGGAGCAGGAAGAGACCTTTTAAGGAGTTTTAGGGAATTCTTAAAATAAACTCAGGAACAGAAACCAAATTACTGGTGGAAGCCAAAAGTCAGAAGCCCTCAAGTTATACTGCAACTTTTGGGAGAGTAAAGGCCATATCAGACAAGGTTGTCTGGTGACCCCCGAGGCTGCATCCATCTCCCCTTAGCCTGGCCCACAAGTACCAGCCTTCCTGGCCCTGAGACCTGCACGTGCATCCCACGTTTCTATGTGGTTCAGCCAAATGCCATCTTCCCATTAAAGCCAGGTGCAAAATGAGGGGAAACTGGGAAATAATTAACCCCCCAAACGACGTAGAGGGCAAGTTTGACAGACTGAAGGAACACAGTAGATCTGCCATGCCCACTAGATGGCAGTACAGCACAACCAGCCAGGGCTGCGAGCCTTGCTGTGGGTCCCCGCGGGAGGAAGTTAGAGCTGGGACTAAGAACTGGTCAGAGGTGCTCAAGAAGAGAGAACTGCAACAGGGCGCCTATGTGTTGTTTCAAGACAGGGAAGGAGGATGTGGGTGGGACCTCCACTGGCAGAGGGAGGGGCTTTAGGAGCTTGGTGGGGGATGATGAGATGGTGTTAGGGTTCCTGAAAACAAGTGAGAGGGCATCACGGGAGAATGTGGCTGGGTATGGGAGCAACACACAATTATGGTTACAAAGGCACCTTTGCCATAGGGGATGCCAGCTACGGGGGGCAAGGGAAGGAGGTTGCCCCGGGGCTATCACTACCCAAGCATATTGACCTCTACAGGAAGCCTCAGTGCTCTTCAAGTTCAGCATGAGGGGTTCCATCAGGGGAGAGGAAAGGATTCCCATTTAAAAGTCTACCGGTCTCCACCCGACCACTCAGGGCTATCAGAGGTGGCGGAGACAAGGCGCCCTTGCTGGCGCAGCTCTTAAGGGGCAGAGGCAGGGCTGACAGGGCTGAAAGGGGTGTGGTGGATAATTGCACTTTGGGGCACAGTGATCACAGGCATGGGCTGGAGGTGGCCTGGGAGACAGGAGGAGGGTCGGCTGACCAGTGTGAAGGGGGGCTGCGGCTGGACAGCCCCTGCCTGGCCAGAGGAAGGGCCATGGGCAGAGCAGCTCCTCAGACCAGGCCCCGTGATCCCGAGAGTCAGATTCTGGGTGGGAGAAGAGAGCACAGCAGTCTGCTATCACATGCCTCCCCGAGAGTTCTGACACCCTCAGCCTCCTGGTTTTTAACACAAGCCAGAGGACTTCCAGTCTGGAAAGCAAAGTAATCACCTTGTGTTTGCTTCATCCTCTTCACAGGACAGGAGGCGGCTACGACTCAAGAGGACCCCGGGCACCTCACCCCCAGAGGAGGCTCTGCACGTGCAACCTAGAGCATAAGCACCTGGGCACACGCACGTTACATTGCAGATCCTCCTGGCCTCCTTTCCTGGAGTTGACTCTTGCCTGATGCGATAAAACTGGTTTTGAAAAACAATTTTAAACAGACTTTTGAAGGGACAAAGGCCATTTGATGGTAGTGATTTTGGTTTTGTTTCATGAAAAATGGTACAGGAGATAATCCCTGATGACAGAACGGACAGATCGCAGGGCCAGGGACCCCTAAGCATCCTCTCTGCTCAGTCCAGTTAAGGCGACGAATGGGTGAAGGTGGCTGGGGGCACTGACCCAGTGGACCATGGCAGTTTGCTGCTTACTCTTGGCCCTCGTCCCAGAGTCTGCCACTCTGCAGTGATCCACTGAGCCTCAGGAACAGAAGGTGGCCCAGGTGGCAGGCACCCAGCAGCACCACCCTAGACCAAGGTGGTACACGCTTACTCTTTCAGTGTGAAGCCGGCACAAACTAGAGAGGTTTGTCTGTTTTCAAATGGTTTTTAAATATTCACTTTTGTTCTAATTACTCACTTCCTTTCCTTTTTTTTTTTTTTTTTTTTTTAGCTGAGCCATCCCGCCACCTGTTGGCAGCTCACGGCTGCTCAGCTCGGGCTGACTCGAANTTTTTAGCTGAGCCATCCCGCCACCTGTTGGCAGCTCACGGCTGCTCAGCTCGGGCTGACTCGAACTGCTGTTGCTCAGAGCTCAAACTCTTGAGTGAGCTCTTAACCAACTGAGCCACTCAGCCGGCCCTCTCACTTCCTTTCCTTTTGTTTAGACCTCTAAACCCTTCCTTTTCAGTGTTGACAAAAGAGAGACTTTCAGGGCAGGCCTAGAAAGACTTGTCATAAAACAGGCTTGAAACCATAGGAAACACGCTCCAATTGCCATCTAGAATCCATTAATTCCCGTGAAATGTTATGGAAAAGCCTCATACCTGGTTGTCTTGCTTTATAGTCACAAGTCCCTTTAATGCACACAGAGTGGACGTCATGTTTCTTAGAATACATAAGGCAAAAGGGGTTTTAGGGCTGTCACAACATAAAAGAGATACTCAGGGTCATGAAGAGAAGGTTTCAAAATGAGACATTCTTTTCAATGTCAGTCTCACTGGACACATATTATAAAATAAAGATTCTCTTTTTGTAAAGTGCTGTTTGCTGAGTGAACCACTGGCCACCAGGCACAGAGCACCGAGGCCCGGCTGCTCGGCAGCATTGGCAGAGGGAGCTCATCTCCCGGTTCTCCTTAGTGAGGAGGGAAATCCTCCCACCGTGACGAGACATCCCCAAACACTTTGCTCCAGGGCGGGGGTGGCTGCCAACTGGCAGAAGCTACACCTCAGGGCCGGGTGCCACCCTGCCCTGGCTCTGCCCTCAGGTTTGGCATCTTATTCTCTCCTGCTCCAGACCATGGGCCAGCTCCCTATCCTGGTGTCCTGAGGCTCTTCCACCTTCCCTTCCCACAGACATGCTGGCAGAGGTGGACCCAGCCGTACACAGATGATATGAGAGCTTTCCAGGAGATTCACTGAGGAGGGTTTAGAAAAAGAGAAGCAATTAAAAAGAGTCACCTGCCCAGTCTGTGCTATTGAAGCACGTAAGAAAAGGTACACAATTGTCAGTAAACAATTTCCTTCAGATGTTTGTGGATGTCCAGGAACACTACGCCCTCCACACAATCAGACATGAACGATTTCTGCTCCAGTGTCTTCAGGTTCTGTGCAACAAGAGTTTGTGTCGGAATGACAGATTCCACGTCCATCTTTATTTTCAAAGTTGGGCTCTGTGAGTGCAGGTTTTTCAAAAATATTCTTTTTGCTTGTTTCTGGACAGTTCTGAACATAGATTACTCTGTTATAAGCCTTGAGTCTCTTCCACAATTGCACGTACACTCTGCACTGAACATACATAAAAAGAAGTCCTCCGGTAAAGCCGATGGCCACAACCACCAATTTAGTCCAAAAGGGCCACTCTAGGATTCCTGCAAGGGAAAACCTGGTTAGCCTATCAGGTAACCTTACTTAAGATCGGAAGTAAATAAAACACAACCTGGGAACTTCCCATAACCCATGGATTCTTAACTCATCAAAGCTTGCTTCGTTGAAGGAAGGGTGGGAGAGGGCATCCAATGCCTTTTTTCCTGCTCTTCCATGAGGCAGTTCATGGAGATTCTCTCCTTAATTTGATCTTTTCTGACCGGGTTTTAAAAACTACTCATCCATACAGGGGCCTGGTGCCTCACAGCTGATGGCCCCTTGAGACCCAGGCATCTGAGGTCTGATCTAAGAACGAACCTGCAGTACCGCTCCAATCCCGAGACTCCTGTGGGTCGCCAGGACCTCCATGCGGAGTCCCCTCTGGTTCTGAGCACATACCTGTTGCCTGGCCCTGCTTGATCTCCTCGGTTGTGCGGTCGATGAGCACGTACAAGGACCAGACCACACAGGTGATGGCGATGACATGGAACGTCACAGAGCACATGAGCTTCCTGCGCTCGCTGGGCGTCATCTGCAGTTTTTCCCACTGCAAAGGCAAGACGTAGAGCGTGAGGCTCAGGGAGTACAGGACATGATGGGGGTGAGAGCACCCTCGTGGATAAGACTGGCTTCCCCTCCCCCATTCCCAAGCTAGATGGATTTTCCCTAATACCCAAAGTCATTCTCTTTAAACCACGTGGCTTCAGCCATGTTCTAGGTACAGGTATTCTGTTGACAGCCAACTTTCTGTGCAACGAAAGGAAGCTGAGTTCGAGATGAGCTATGAACCACAACCAGCAACAGCGCTGGGGAATCGGGGGAAGGGGAACAGACAAGTTGCTGTCCTTTTGTTCTTCAGTCTAGTTGTGGAGGGAGGACGTTGCTTCACTGGCCCATGTTGGTATTATCACTGCGCTCTTCCCGGGTGAGGCAGATCGGTTGCCGGCCTCTGGACGGCCACTCGCGGTGGTTCTTGGCAACTCACACTGGCAGATGGCCGCTCATGCTGGCTGCCGGCCACACACGGTAGCTTATGGCAGCCCACTGCAGCAGGGGCTGCAGCCTACGCCGTTGCCGGTGGCTCATGGCAGCCCAGCTCCAGGTCAAGCTGTTGTTCACCATCTTAGCTATAGAAGGCAGTATCACTGGCTCTCATGTGGGATCCGAACTGGGGCCCCGCTGCACAGAGCTGGTATCCCAAGCCAGCTCTTAAACAATGTGCCACTTGGCCGGCCACTGTCTGCTTATTCTTGCAAGCAGACATCAAATGGATTGATAAGGGATTGTGTGGTTTGTCCTGCTGAAAATGGTACCTTGGCCCAAGACATGGTAGCACATTTTACGTCTCCCAGACTTGCTGACCAGCATGGGCAAAGGGGAAGAAGAGGGAAGAGGGATGACGACAGCACAATACACTAGCAGATGGGCACACCACACTGAGATGCTGATGGCAGAAGGCTCACTCTTGCTTCCTCTGCTACTCTGGCAGCAACAGCGTGAAACTGATGCTAAGAGTTCCGATACAAGCAGTCTCTGCCAGTCCCACCTCCTCTAGGAGCTCATTAATTACTCCAAATAGCCAGATTTCCTTTTTTCATTTATTGGTATCCGAATCAGAAGTAAACACATAAAGATAGAGAAAAAGAACAAAGTGTAAACACTGCATATCCTCTGCCATCTCTAATCACAGCCTTTTTCCAGATGGTTCCATACAGGATAAGATGAAAGCAGAGCTTCATGGATTGTCTATTTTGGTCAAAGTGCCATAAGACGCACTTGAGAGGCCAGCAGAGATACTCGATATATTAAAAGACTTTTATGGGGTGAAAACAATTTTTAAGCCATTTGCGCTGCCTTCTCTAACATCCAGACTGCTCTTTGCTATGGTGGCTGCATCTTGACTTGGCTTCCTTCCTAAAATGCTCGCTCCCCTGCTCCCTGATGTCCTGCTCTGTCCTGAGACACATTCAGTTCAAGCCTCTCACACTGCCCTGAAATGCTCACCCTCACATACTTAGTGCATGCTTTTACCCAGAGGCAACTTGACATCTGTCAACTCCTTCCACTTCACCTCCAAATCCTACTGATCCTTCAAGAGTTGCTTCAACACCCAAACACTCTACGATGCTACCACCATTCTACTCCCCAGTGCTCTAGCCACAGGGTTGCTTCCTCCTCTGAATGTCTGGCACGCTCCACTGCCCTGAGAGTTAGCACTTACCTGGCTGGCACTGTCTTGTGCTGTTCTCTGACAATGTGATTCCCCTTGCAATTTATACGTTAAAGGTTTGCGATAAGAACAAGTTTTTATTGTTCCAGACAAAACCTTATGTTCTGGGCAGACAGAGACACACTGAACAAACAATGTTTACAAAGGACACAAGTGCAGGACCAGACTCCTCTCAGAGGGAGCAAATGACATGGGCCTGAGCAGAGCTGCGGCTCAGTCATGCCCATTCCTTTCTTCTCCCACCCACCCACCCTCCTATCTAGGAACTACTTCTCACAGGGATATACAAATAAACTGACTGTTACACTGTGCTTTGTGCTGGGGAGGGATACTAATCTCTAATACACAGTCCTAATTAGAGGCAACATATCAAGTTAAATGCTGACTAAAATGCCACAAAACAGTCTGTGGTCAAGGACCAAATGATTGACACAGACAAGCAAGCAGTCTTCATAGGAAGGGGAAACAGCAAACAAGTATTATGAGTGAATCAGAAGAGCAAGTCTCTTCCTGTGAGGAGGGACTTGGCAATCACACCAGAAACAGTGATCTCTACAGCACGAATGTCAGCAGCCTCCCACCCCCACCCACTTAGAGAAATAAACACAGGATGCTAAGGCGTCATTCCCACAGGCCCTGGTGCTAACTCTTCCCAGCACGCGTCTCAGAGAGGTTAAAGCACTCTCCGGGGCCTGGATACGTACTTTTCTCAGAGGCTTCAGCTTGGTCTCCATGACGAACTCGTACTTGCAGAGCTCGCAGCAGCGCGTGTCAGAGCTCTTGATCCACTGCTGCAGGCAGGCCTGGTGCACGAAGTGGAGGCTCCCTGTGCAGCGGCACGGGGTGATCAGAGGGCTGTCATCATCCCCTTCACAGTGACAGATCCTAGGCAGGAGAACAGTGGTTAGTACGAGGGGGCCACACAACAGGGAAGATGACACTTCAGTGGAAGGTCAATCCCCCAAAGAAAACTTTCAGAAACAAACATCACAGAATGACTACAAGTGCGAAAACATAAACACAAATGAGGACAACTACGACAAACTAAAACTTTCTAGCTTACCGCACCCACATGGAAAGTCTGGATGGCATTTGGCATCAGAGAAGAAAAAATGATACAAGAAATGACAAAGCAGTCACTTTGGGTAAGATTTAAGAACTTCATTGAAAGATGAATTTTAGGCAACATGGTAGCATCTTCCAGAACTTAAGATGTTAAAATAATTAGAAAAAAAAAATTTCTGTGTAAAACAAAACCAGCACTCTACCTTCCAAAATTACCAATGACTTAGAAAGATTATGGAATTTGCTTTTTAGCTGTAATCACTGACCTCACCTCTACACACCATAACTACATATCTCTGTCCTCTCTGAGAGTAAACAGAGAAATCATGGTGACTCCCCCAGACCTAAAAACCATTATAAGGTACTGCAATTTCATTTCTTTGTGCAGGACCACTCTCAGCAATGAGGGAGAACTCTACATCATTCTTTCATCTAAAGATACAGGTACATGCAACAGGATATAGCTACTAACCTCAAGAAACTTAATACATTTTTGAGAAACAAAGGGTCTTTTCCAGCAGCTGGAGAGCAGGTAGGGACACCTAACCTGAAAGGAGCAGGGCTCTGGCCCTGGCCAGCCTCTCAGCTGCTTGTTTCTGTGACAGGGGTTTCTGGTCCAATGGTCAGGAATAATCTTCGCTGGTCCTGAGGGGGAGTGACTGGGGAAATGTTAGAATGGGCAAGGCCTAAGGGTGGTGACAAAAAGTGAATTCTGAAAGAGTTCGGAGGCCAGACAAGGATGCTACACATGGGAGGAGAAACAGGAAGGAAGTAGAGCTAGGACCTGAAAAGAGGTGGCTGCCACCAGGTTAAAAAGGAGGAGGAACAACAGCCTCTCCCCACATATCTCAGGGTGGAGGGGGAGCAAGGGGTACGCATGAGGGTGGGAGAGGCAGCCAACTGACAGGCTAGACCAGGGGTTGGCAAACTTTTGAGATGGAAGAGCCGCCAGGGGTCAGCAAACTGTGGCTTGCGAGCCACATGTGGCTCTGAAGTAAAATTGAAAATGAAAATGAAACTATCATAGTTTCATTTATAATATTACTTTAAATTTTCCTTATTTGTAAAACTATATTTATGGCTCTTGAATAATTTTTAAATTGTTGTGAGGGACAGGATTGACTCTTCTAGGGGTTGGCAAACTTTTGAGACAGAATGTACCCAAAGAGCCGCATGTGGCTTGTGAGCCACAGTTTGCCGACCCCTGGGCTAGACCAACAAGCCAGAAAATACTTTCTTCCAATTTCTTTGTGCAAAGTCTACTTATTTTTCATTGATAAGAGTCAGTTTGACTTTTAATATGTGAGGTTCTTCCTCTTTTATCACCTGTGAAACTATCTTGGGACCCATGTCATAGAAATTGGTTTTTCAAATGTTATCAATATTCTACTCTTCTGGAGAAAACTCTTAAACCACAATTGTCTACAACTGCCTATTCACTCATTTTTCTGAAACTTCACATATTAAAGCTGAGGCTACTACACAGGAGTGGAGCAGAGGTGCCAGAATGCTGGTTCTCCGCAGACCAACCTGCAGGTGTCCCCTGACGTGGACACAGGAGAGATGGGGGGGCGTTTTTCAGAGAGAGGAGAAGGACAATCCAGGTCACTGTCCTTCTCCACTGAGCAGAGGGGCGCCCGCAGGACCTTGCTCTTGGATTTTGCGGAAGTGCTGTCCTCAAAGACGTCATCGTCTCCCATTTCATCAGAGCAGAAGCCCGTGCTCCCGGCCAGCCCTCCGGAGGACTGGGCGGTGTGCAGGTATGCGGCACAGCCCTCCCGCTCATGGGGCCTGTGCAGGCTGCTGGCGCCTGAGCCGAGCGAGAGCGAGAGCAGGTACCGGAGCAGCCGGCGGCTCCTGGGCATGGATGCGTCATCTGCCTTCTCCTCCCACAGAGGAATGGGCATGCCCCCCTTGCCACCTCCCACCTCTGAGGCAGCTGGGTGGTTGGCAGACAGGGAGGAAACACAAGACTGTTTGGAATGGCCCAGAGGTTTGCTATTCAGTGTTCTTTTCTCTTTATGATGGAACCTGTACATTCTGAGACACGGGTCTTGAAAGAGCACCAATTTCCCTTCAGAGCAAGTTCTTTCCACATAGTCAAAGCTTTCCAAAGGATCCTGGGCCTTCTCGCCCATATCGTTTAGGGATTTTGAGAACTTTAGTGTTCTTCTGGGTCTGGTATTCTTAGCAGGCTTCGAGGCCCGGGTCCGCTCTGCACCACAGGGATTGCTGTCTGACGCCTGTAACGTGTCCTTACAGATAACCGTCACAGTGAGCCCATGTGTCAGAGCACTCTGGCAGTGAGGAGCTTTCAAGACAACAGCAGACTGCACGGAACTGTGGTGACAACACTCAGAAAACACTGCACTGGAACTGCATGCAAAGAACAGTGAGATAAAAGCACAGAAAGTAAAACACTGTTAAGGAGAACAGACATCCACGTGAAGAAACCAGCCTCACGGCACCCTGGTGAGCAACAGCGCGTGGAACGGGCCCGCTGTCTGGAGCAATGGCGTCCTGACCAAGCTCATGGGAGACCGAGGGCCCACACACACTCAGGCTCACTTCTGGGGTCACATGAACCAAGGTAGAATGGAAGCGACTGTTACCTGCAGATGTCCTGATTGGAAGGCGTGACAGAGGTGCGAGAGAAGGCGGACACTGGAGCGGATGCCAGCGGAGGACCCCCAGCCTGCAACGACACACCTGCATCAGTGTTCAGGAAAGAGCCTCGAGGACAGAGAACGCCCTCTCCTTCCAACCGGCAATGGGGAGAGAATCTGAGAAAGTCTGCTACTTCCTGTTCCTCAAGAAGTAACAGGTACTAGGTCCCCGCAAGCTGAAACAAAACAAATCAAAGAGCTCTCTTCTTATAAGTGGTTAGACATGTAGCCAGGAAATACCCGAGGCTGGAACAGCAGCAGCACAGGTGTCCTGCAGACTCGGTGCTCATTTATTTCCTAAGCATCTAAATTTAGTTCAGACATAAGAAACCATGTACCATAAGGTGTAAGACAAGAAATGTGTGGCATATCCCAGCCAGCACTCTTCACTGGTTCCCGGGGGAATCCCCACCAAGGCTGGCAGGACGTCCGCACCTGCCCCTCACAGCCTCATGGCTGGGCCCCCAAACCTTGCTACCCTGTGAGTGCTCTTTCTACAAAAGGGAGACTACCTGAGGACAGAGCCACTAATCCAGAGCTCCACCAGGGGGCCCAGGAGGGGGCTGAGCAAGAAGGCTCCCATAGTTCTAATCAAAATAAATAATTGAGAAAATTTACATTTGAAAGAAACTGTAGCAAGAGGTCAGGAGAGAAAGCAGGGGCTCTGAAAGGTTGTGAATAAGCCAAAATTAGATTTAAAAATCCAGGAGGGTGAGGAAGTGCCACCTGGGAAGAGAAGGAAAGGAGAGAAGAAGCAAGAAGGAGCATGGCCGAGCCAAGAATAGGAAAGCAGCACCGGAGGGTCCCGCAGCCCCCGCTCCAGCCTGTTGGGGCCCTTGCAAGGCCATATGGAGACCAGCTCCCTGAGTTTCCATGGCCTTCACAGACCCACTCATACTCGTGTAAATGCATTCGTTCCTCCTCAGGACAATGAGCCTGAGTGAGCATCTGCTCCACGCAACCTAAACAATCACATGAAAACAGCAGTCATCCCTTGGTATGGGGCAGTGAGTGATTAATTCCAGGATCCCGTGGATATCAAACTCCAGGGATGCTCAAGTTGCTTACATACAATGGTACAGTATTTGTACATGGCCTGTATTTGCACACAGGCTACAGCAGGGCGTGCACACAGCACAGCATTTGTGTGGATTCAACATTGTGCTCGGTGCGTGGCAAATTCAGCTTGGTTTTTGGAATTTTGTGGGATGTTCTTCCCCCCTGAATATTTTCGATCCAGAATTGATTGAATCCACAGATGCGAAGCCCCTGGATATGCAGGGCTGTGTACTGTGAGTCTGTTATCAAGAGTACGTCCCATCACCACCCCACCTTCCCCAGGACTACTCAGTGGCCCTCAGCCCTATCCTTGGTTCCTTGGGGAGCCCCACACTGGTCCACAATTCTCCAGCTGAGATCTATTCCCCACTTTTGCAAAGCGCACTCCTAAGGGCATACTCTCACTCTGGCACACCAGCTCCAGGACCCCTGACAAGGGTGGGGCCACCAAGACAGGCAGCACCCCTCTCCAGAGGCTCTCCCCACCTCCCCTCTCCTGCAAATGCACCAGCCTGGAGAGGGCAGGTCCATTGGACCACCATTCCCACTCCTCAGCATGGGGAGTAAACGTTTTAAACCCAATTCAACCTAAAGAAACCTGATCCAAGAAGTTACATGCTATCACACTGCCTGTACTGAAGGTAGACCAGCACACGTGCCAAGTCACCAAGAAGCTATGTTTCCTTTCTAACATAACGTGCACAGGAACACTGGATATGTTTTCTCTCAAAGAATTACTGGTCAAAGTTGTTAGGATTCTAATGTTTAATTTATTTGGACACATGAAAATGACACCCCCAGAATAACCTGCCACTACCTTGTCACGAGTCTTCGTAAAACAAAATGAGGGGGTCTCAGGACCCATGTGGACACTATGCTGTTACGTCCCCATTGCATGAGGCACCTTCGTCTGCTTTCTCTGCACCCTCCCCCAGGCAGCCATCCCAGGCCCCAGCCGAGGCTCCTCTGCCTGGCCAGCCTGGCCAGACAGCAGGCACAGGCCCCACTGTCTAACCTGCAAGGAGCACACGGGCTTGCATGGTTCCTCAATGCGGAAGCGGGCTGAGGGCAGCTACACGAAGGTCCCACACACCTCAGCCTCCTGCTCTGATATGCAGTCCTAACCCCATTCTGAGACAGAAAGCCTTCTCAAACCTCCTGCTCCCTTCTTTTAGACAAACTCTGTTTAGTATCCGTAGGCAAGGCTAGACACATATCATAGAGGCCACAAGCTGGTCATGCTATACTGTGGAGAAGTGAGTCTTCATCATGCCTCCCCAAGCAGGCCTTGGAGGAAAGGAGGACTGGAATATCTAGCTATACCCACATCCTTGTCCCCTCACTGCCAGGAGGTCAGCTCTCCTTCCTTGATGTTGTTGGGTTAAGTTCAGTAACTCAGACTGAGGTATGGAAGGAAGTCCCCTTCCCATACGAGGGATGGAAGATGCACTGCTCACCCAGAAGACAAAGGGAATTACCCAATTATCTCCCTCCCTGTTATCTCTGTAAGGACATCATATCTCCTGAAACCACGTACACTTTCCTGTATCCTGAAGGGACAGGAAACCCCTGGGAGGAAAGTGTGGTCTTATCTGGAGAATGAGGCTCCCCCAGGGTCAGTGTCCTAGGAGGAAGCGGGTCTCAGACGGGAAATTGAAATCAAAAGAAAATGACCTCTCATTCCTGTTCTGATCTTCAAGTAATCCATGTCCAAAAGCGGTCTGGGGAACAGTCACATGCCCGTGAGAGGAGGACTACTCGGAGCTTAGGAGGGAAGAGCCTCTGAGCAGAACAAAGCCTGGATGGAGGAAGCAGCCAGGGTGCCCATACATGCGACAGCACCTGTGAGCACTTCTCCGAGAATTACCCGTCAGGTGTCGCCCGGAAACTTGCACAGCTGTGTCTGTGTTTGCGGCAGAGCATCGACCTGGAGACATGGCAGTGTCCCAAGTGTCCCAAGCCCCGACCCCCCCCCCCACCCCCGTCTCTGTTCATTAGGACATAGGAATAGTCTCAGCATCCTCTCTCTATCCATGGTCCTGGCCTCATTTCATCCTCTCCAGTCCCACAAACGACATCACCAGACTCTCCCAGCAGGTAATGTCCAAGCCTCAATAATCCCCCCAATAACAGAAAAAGTCTCTCTTCTTATTAGATCATGAGGTTTCAAGGAAATTTAAAAAATCTACTTACTGTTGTTTTACATAAATACAAACCAACAAATGCTTTATCCTAGTTGACTCTTTCTTGAAAAAGAGAAAACAAGCAAGATCTGTGAGGCCATCACAGCTCCCAGAGGAGGCTCCTTCTGTCACCAGCTAAAGGAGCACATGTTGCGTTCAGGACCGTCCACATGTGGAATGCTGACCAAAGCACAGCTCAGCAACTTTAAAGAGCTTAACTTGTTGCTGGTGTCAAGCTAAGTAAAACCTATCGACCTACCAATGAGGATTTAAAACACTGGCCTGTGATCAACAACAGCAACAAAATGAAGCCTACAGCTCCAAGTATGGTTCCAGGGTTGAATGTCAAGGTGAGTCACAGAGCCAGCAGTGTCCTGACAGGCTCAGAGCCCTGGCAGCTGTCCACTCTCCTGGCACCCACAGGTCTCCTGCTCTTGGGGAGCAGTGGGCAGGGCGGTGAGGGAGGCTGTGGGGCAGAGCTGGCGATGAGAAAGGGAGACCCTGCCACGCAGCACTCCAGCGAACTCTCTCCCTCCGTAGGGTCCAACCACAACACTGCTACTGATAAAAGGTGTAAATATCCCTGATCAGAAAGTTCAAATGTATCCAGAAAACTTAGGCTCTGTGTTCCTCAAGTTCTTTGTTGGTTCTCAAAGAAGACACTTTCCAGTCATGATAAAGAATGTAAAGCAATCTCAGTACAAAAAAAATGTGCAAAAATCACCTCTTCCTAAGACACTGTAATCAGTGATACCAAAACAAACCTCCAGATTCTATCTAGGCCCAAATCCCCGTTGATCTTATTTCTTAGGAATGACAAATACTTCCAGACATGTTGTTTTGCTGTACTCAAGTCACTCAGGGATTGCCTTGCCTATCAGACTTTCTGCTTTAAATGATTTTTATCAAGGCTGCCAAAAACATATACAGAAAACTTCCTGCACATGCCCTCAACTGTTACCTTGCCTCTATCAGTGCTCCTGCTACATTCCCCTGGGCATGTGTTACTATTCACACAATTCTAACTCTCTCCAAAAGGCCACCAAAGAAAATGGTTAGTATCAGTGCTATTTGCTGGACAATGCAAGAGACATTTATAATGGGACTCATTTTAGAATTCAGTCATTTTTACTGCAAACTCCTCCATAAATCCTATTCTGTATGTGTTCTATGTTTTCTTTTTAATGGCCAGTTTTAATTAATTGCTGTTGTGTAAGCCGTTCTTGGTATAGCCCTTCGTCAAGATTCAGCATGTATTTATCAGAGCAGACACAGAGCTTGGTTTCTCCTTTATTGTAGCTCACTTTTGAAGGTGAATATAACTAGTTTATTTCTAGAAATCAGAGCCTCTGGTAACTAAGCATCTGTGATCACAGAGTAACTTCTGCGCTAAGCAGAGACCTTCCTGAAACGCCATCTCAATCTGAATGTCGCAGTGTTTGAACATCTAGTGAGGCTTTCTTGGCATTGTGATGTGAAGCCAGGGCTGCTGGGCAGGCAGTAAGGGGCGGATTATTGCCCCTTGCTCTGGGAGTGGAGGGGCGGGAGTGTAACCTCCTGAGCAGGAAGTAAACGTAAGGTGGTTTGGGAAGCAGAAATTCTAACGTGGCCCCAGAGATGTCTCCCTCAGTGCCCAGAATCCGTGACTCCCTGATCGTGTTATATTGATTGAATGGAATCACATGAGCTCTTAAAGGTAGAAAGCTTTCTCTGGGTGGTGTCTAGAGGATGTCAGAGATTAGAAGCAGGAGTGAGCCTGAAGACAAGGAGGGATCGGTGAGGCATGC